AATAGAGCATAAGGATTGTACAGTACATTGAAAACTGTAAGCTCTCAGTGTCTAAACACACAGATTCGTGTGTTTGTTACTGGCTATATATAATTACAGGAATAGAGCTTACCATTTCCTCTTAGTGTCCTGTCTTCTATTATAAGTTTATCATAAAAATATTAAATTCCCAGTGGTTTTTGGCACACATTTTTTACTCTGATTACATTCCAGCCTCTGCTACTGTGTTTGTGAAATATTTCCCAATATATGAAGTCAACAACTTTTTATTATGGATGTAACATGAATAACTTCTAAAATTAGTGTTTTCTGCTAAGCGTAAGCATTATGAAGGCTTACAGTAATCTGCTTTTTTGACCAAATGTATATATTTTTGTGGTAAAAATTGCTCAAGGTTTAATTTGTCAATACAGTATTTACTTGTAATGTGGTGCATGGCCCCTCAAATTGAGTACGGACTCCTGTATGGTATGGGATTTCTTAAAAATGTGCTCAGGAGATTTTCCCCACCTGAATCTGTCTTCTTTATTCTTTCATATGATTGTTTTAGTAATAAATGAGGTTAGTAATATAGAATGTGCTCTCTACAATGCAAAATGAGCTCAAACGAAAATGAGTCACTTACTGTATATGGGCAGCTCTTAGTGGTACAGTAGTCATAATTTCCAGGAAATGTAGGAATTTATAATAAAGTAATGTAGTTATAAAAGTCCACTGGGCTTTCCAAGATCTTTTAAATAATTAAGAAGGACTTAAAAAATGTATGATGAGATAATGGATGAAAAATAAAATGCAAAGACTAATATCTGCAAATTTTTCGAACATGGGAAAGTGCAATAAGTATTGTTGTTGTTGATCACTGTGAGTAAAGACCAAACAAATAAGAGCTTTCTTGTTTCCAGGTGCACATTATGTTGGGGGTGGTTCAGACATGAGCAGTGGTCCTCCTCGCAGTGCTATGGTGCCCACCAGTATACCTGGAGCACCCACGAGTGTTCAGAGTGTACCACCATCTCAGGCCTCACAGTATTATCCAGGCTACCAACAGTATCAGGGGTAAAGCATTGTTTTTCTTTTGTGCATGCATGTGCTTTTGTGTGATTTTATGTTTTCACTTAAACTTTTTAGTAGTAGATTTAATTATTTCTACACAAGCTAAATTTCTGTAGGAACTGCTTTAGCCGTTCATATGATCACTAATCCAGCATGGTATGCTGTAATTTTTTCTGCATTACAGTAGAATTCAAAAGTTCCAACATAGCTGGGATCTAGTAGTTAATAAAAGTCTGCCTTTTTCGGAAAATTTTAGTAAAAAGTGTATGTTATACAACAGTTGATAATATTGTACTTCATGTTTGCAAGACATAATTACTGTAAAAAGGTGACATGTTGGTCATCTGTACATTAACCCAAGCTTTTCTAGTCCACAAATAAAGTTCTCCTATCACCTGTACATATCAACTGGTTGCATGTTAGCAGACTGTTTTCTACCAGTGAAGGATTTTTCAGATTCCTTGTCTGGCTTACTGTTGCATAGTTAACTATATGAGAAGCCACAGTACTGTTCAATGTTCATTTTTTAGTGATATTACTTGTGGTCTTGCACACTTGTCTAGCCTTTTTCTAAAGGACTTTTTTTAGTCAGACTTTTCACTTTCTATCCTGAAATCATTCTTGGAGTATGTATGTAAGGCATAAAATTGAACATATACCAGACATTGTTTTCAATATAAATAACATTGGACACGGTAAACCAAAATGAAACAAGGTTCATCGAATGGTGGTAAACTTGGGTCGTGATCGAGGTCTTGATTTATTTGATTAACCCTTTCAGGGTTTCCGACGTACTAGTACGGCTTACGCACCAGGGTTATTGATGTACTAGAACGCCTAAATTCTAGCTCCTTCAGATCTAACGAGAGAAAGCTGGTAGGCCTACATATGAAAGAATGGGTCTATATGGTCAGTGTGCGCAGTGTAAAAAAAATCCTGCAGCACAGTGCGTAATGAGAGAGAAAAAACTTCGACCGTGTTTTTGGATTAAAACAGCAACTTTGCACTGTATTTTCATATGGTATTTATGGTTGTATTCTAGTTTTCCTGGTCTCATTTTATAGAATGGGAGACATATTACAGAAATTGAGATGATTTTGATTGGTTTCACAATGAAAAGTACCTTGAAATTGAGCTCAAAGTAGCAGAAATGTTAAATTTTTACCAAAGTTCAAAAGTAAACAAATCATGCCAGGTGAATAATAAACGTCAACTGGTGAGTCTAATATTCTTTCACAAGTGCTCTGATATTATTTATACCATTTCTACACTAATGCAGCAGTCTGCATAACAGTAAATCTTTTATTTTTTGTGAGAAAAATTCAAAGTGGAAACCAAAAGAAATGTCAAGAGGGGCCTGGGGATGTGATAATGAACAGAGAACTTGTTATTTTAGTGCCAGGAATATTTGTCTTGTTTGGAAATTGGCATCTTCTGAAATTTGTGTGAAATTGGCAAAATTGCTAATTTCTAACCACTTTATTGGATAGTTGAAATTGGTAAATGGGTGGTTTCTTGTACTCATTCGATAGAAAAAAATAGAGTTCTAGTGAAATAAATATGATTTTTGTCGACTAGCACACAGGAATTGGCTGAAAATAGGGCTCAAAGTGGGCGAAATCGCTGATGCGTAAACATCGTCGAGACCGCTAACTTCGCGAGAGCATAATTCCGGAAGTTTTCCATCAAATTTCATACTTTTGGTGTCATTATGATCGGGAAAAGATTCTCTATGAGTTCATAAGAAATAATAATTTTTTTTTCTCGACCCTGAAAGGGTTAAATTTGAAATTTAGATCCATTTTTGGTTTCTTAGAATTTTCTGGACCTTGGATGTCAGAAAATTAAATTTTTAATGTATTCTTAGGTCTTCATCATTTAAGCATGATTGTTGTCACTAAAGTAAAGGTTTGGGGATTATATTTTATCCTTACTCTTCTCTAAAGGTGAAAATTGGTAAACTATTTTATTACGTAAGTACATACTGTATATATGTGTGTTGAAAGAAGAAAGAATGAACACTTTTTTTTCTTTCTTGGTTCAAAAAATGGCAGACTATTTTCTAAAATGGCACAACTAGGCACATAGGAAAAATATTACTTAAACTGGATTTGGAAGTTTTGTGACTGTGAAATTCATTGTGACTTATTCATATTACAGGTATGCTGTGCCAAGCAGCCAGCCTGGTGGATTCAGTCAACCGTACTCGTCAGCTCAACAGTACCCTACTAGCTACACCACCCAGTCTACCCCTCATAGTTCTGGCCCCCCTCAGACCATATCTTCTCAACCCCCACAACCAGGACCTCCTGGAGCACGACCACCTGTTAGGTTGGTATTTTTCCTTCTTTTGAGTTATCAGTGATGCCTTTTATCTTAAATAATTCATAACTACCTCACAAATTGGAGATAAAAGTTAAGTGATGTTTCATTCCACCCTGGACCATTATGAAGTAGTATAGTATGTGCATTTTTGGTCACCCTATCATAGTGAGAAATGACTAATGTGCTTTAGAAAAGAGGGGAAAAGGAATGGTTAGAACCTGCCTAGCCTACCCCATTAAATCTACTGCAGTGCTGCAGATTTTTCAAATTTGTCTTAGTATTTTTAGATTTAGTTTTGGTCTGTTGTTAATGGGAGTGTTCTCTATCTTTGTGAGCACAATCAGCACAACTTTTTGTGTGATAAAAGGGAGGAGGGCTAAATGATGGTGAAAAATTAATGCTGTGAGGGGGTAAAGATGTGTAGAAACAGTAAGAGGGAGAGTTCCATAAAAAAGCTTGTCAGGTATACTATGTTGGATTTGGACTACATTTCTTCCCTCACTCTTCCTAAGAATAATAATGATGATGATAATATTTATGTTATAGGCAGTAGGTTGGTAGACAGCAACCGCCCAGGGAGGTACTACCGTCCTGCCAAGTGAGTGTAAAACGGAAGCCTGTAATTGTTTTTCACGATGGTAGGATTGCTGGTGTCCTTTTTTCTTTCTCATAAACATGCAAGATTTCAGGTACATCTTGCTACTACTTCTTACACTTAGGTCACACTACACATACATGTACAAGCATATATATACACACCCCTCTGGGTTTTCTTCTATTTTCTTTCTAGTTCTTGTTCTTGTTTATTTCCTCTTATCTCTGTGGGGAAGTGGAACAGAATTCTTCCTCTGTAAGCCATGCGTAACAAAAAGGCACAATACCGTGACTGGAACGATACACAAATAACCCGCACATAAAAGACAGAAGCTTACGACGACGTTTCGGTCCGACTTGGACCATTGACAAAGTCACACAGTGTGACTTTGTCAATGGTCCAAGTCGGACCGAAACGTCGTCGTAAGCTTCTGTCTTTTATGTGCGGGTTATTTGTGTAAGCCATGCGTGTTGTAAGAGGCAACTAAAATGCCGGGAGCAAGGGCCTAGTAACCCCTTCTCCTGTACATATTACTAAATTTAAAAAGAGAAACTTTCGTTTTTCTTTTTGGGCCACCCCGCCTTGGTGGGATACAGCCGGTTTGTTGAAAAAAAAAATATTTTTGTATTTTTTTTTTTTTTGTTCTTCTTGAATGCCTTTTTCTTTCAAGATATTCACACATGCTTATGCACTAATTCATAACTGCAAAAACAGTGATGAGACAGAAATATTGTACTAAAGTTTATATTCAAGACTGACAGTTTGATCATCAGGATCATAAGTTCTAGAAAAGAGATACGCTTTCAACTAAGAATTGAAAGAATGAAATAAAATGTAGTTGTAATTGCTACTTTTTTTTTTTTTTTTTTTTTTTTTTTTTTTTTTTTTTTTTTTAACAAGTCGGCCGTCTCCCACCGAGGCAGGGTGACCCAAAAAAAAGAAAGAAAATCCCCAAAAAGAAAATACTTTCATCATCATTCAACACTTTCACCACACTCACACATTATCACTGTTTTTGCAGAGGTGCTCAGAATACAACAGTCTAGAAGCATACACATATAAAGATACACAACATACCCCTCCAAACTGCCAATATCCCAAACCCCTCCTTTAAATAAGCAATATTATTTTGTGTTTCAGGTACTCTGTCCCACCAGGTGCTGGAATCATGACGTGGGCTCCACAGTAATCCATGCAACACTACAGACCATCACACTTCTTTTGCAGCAAAGTTGTCATTGCTAAAAATATTTCTAAAAGTAAAATCCTGCAACAGTAGTTCACACCAAATATGTATTCTAAATGTATTACCATCAAATAAATAACAAAATGTCTTGAAATTTTTCGAGTTGATAAAAAACTTTATGTGGTGTCTGTGTCTTGGACACTCGTAAAATAACGTGTGCTGTGTAAGCTAAAAATTTTTCAAAAGTGTGTTTTAAAAAATTTCTAATATTATTTTTGATACAAGATATATTCTTTTGAAACCAATGTCTTAAAGGTATTGTGCAGTGCTTGCATACAATAATATTTAAATGTAATTTTCTCAGAAAAATTTCAGTTTTTAGCTTATTAAATGCTTCCAGTTGAAATATACTGTCTCTCTGACTATTATACTAGGTGTTGCCAATAATAAGGTGGCAATATCAGTATTTTGGCTATGGTAACAAATGCCACATAGCTCTACACTGCATGTAAAACGACTAAAAGATAATTTTTTTTTTAATATTTTTGTTTTTTTACATGCATAGTATTTAAGGACATTCTTCCCAACATTTACATATTGCGATTGCTGTTGCTATCAGCAATGCCTGATATGTATGTGAAAAGTAGATTATCTCCTTCTCCCATTTCCATTATATCTTTGCACACCAAGCCTAAATTAACAGTGCCAAATTTGAACACAGCTTGCAGTAGTTTCAAGCCATATTCAGAAGGTATTAGCTCTGAATCTAAGGCATGCATCTATGAAACCTAGTTCTGTAATTAATATGGTAGTAGTAACATTACTGTATTTGGAATGAATGTGTTAAGGCTACAGTAGTGAAAAATCAGTTTATTTGCATTTGGATATTGTATAGAAATGATTAAAAAGATTGAGAAACAGTGAAGTTGGGATATTCAGTATTTGTGTAAATTATGTTATTAAAAAGCAATTTGTGAAGAAGTTCACTTTGATCTGATGTAGCCAGCCATAATGAAATGAGTATTTATGCATTTATTTTTAATACAACTTATTTTTATAATATTGTACATACAGTCAGCTAAGTCCAAGGAACACAGACATTATGATCAAATAATTCCAAAGATACACAAACTGTTCATATAATATGTATCAGTTATTTTGTTTAGTTCTTATTTAAATAATTTTTGCATATCTGTAATATATATTTTTTGTCTTACATAGGTGTCTTTGCTAATACATATAGTTAATATTCACAAATGCATATCTTTCTTTCTTTCAACACACCGGCTGTATCCCACCGAGGCGGGGTGGCCCAAAAGGAAAAACGAAAGTTTCTCCTTTTACATTTAGTAATATATACAGGAGAAGGGGTTACAAATGCATATATTCTTTATATTTCACTCTGAGTGTTTATATACACACAGTTTTGCAAGGTATGTACCTACATGTCAAAATATATAAATACAAATTTAAATTTGTTGCGTTATCAGACTGTCAACCCCACATGCTTTAGGCCAGCGTAGTAACCATCACATCATCAGTAATTACCTATTTGTGAGGGAAGGGGAAGGTATGCTCCGATTCTTGGTCCCCACCTCTTGACTTTCAGCTAACTAATGTGATCGAGTTTTATCATTTTTTTTTTTTAATCCTTGCATGGGGCCCATTTCCAATGTGCCTAAGGGATTGGCAGTTTGAATCTGGCACTGTTTCTCCTGTTTCACATGTTAATACTTAAATAAAAATCTATTAGTTCTTCATTTATAAGAAGTTTGGAGTACATTCAGAAAATTTTATAGCTAACTCCACTCCTCCAGTGTTTGAACATTTGACAGTAAAGTGCAAAACATTTTCCCAGGAATTCTGTGTTTACGTTTGACTCGCAGATGAATGAAAACCTAACTTCTCGTCTGCATGTAACTGTGTTTGGTGCCATCAGAATTATTTACACTGTTTATAATTATATATAAAATTATCTATTTCTGCTGATTTAAGAAGTGTTAATTTCTTAAATTAATGAATAATAAAAAGGTACCATACTGTGCTTACAATTAGTTGTCTATAAATTGTTTTAAAATTTGGTGTATATAGCTAAATTTAGAAAAATATTTATTTACTTCTAAGTGTTTTAATTTGGGTTTATTTCATAATAGAAAATACTTATCAATAACTGCTGCATTTATTTTTAGTGATGTGAATCTTAATTTTGTGTATCTTGCTAGTTATAAAATCAGTGACAGCCTGCACCAATTTGCTTCAAATGGGTAAATTTCTTAGTGCAACTGAGACACAGCCACATTCATTTGTCATTGGTCACATGTTGTTGGTTACATTGGCTGGTCAGATGCACACACATACTTTTATTGTATACCTGACATAAATTTGTCATTACTGTTTATAAGCTAATCACTAGTCTGTGATGATTTGTTCAGAGCTGAGCACTCATGTCCAGGTATCATGGAGATTGAAAACACATTTTGAAAAGTATGAGAAGTCTCTAATAATATGCTGAGCCAAGAAGTTTTAATTTAAAAATGTAGATTATGTTGATAAAGAAATTTCATATTTTATCATTGATTATGAAGTTATTAACAAATAAATTGGGTAAGTAGTGTGAGAGAAATTTAAAATAAACTTTGCTAATATTATCTGAGAAAAGGGTTGTTTAATAAGCTTAAAAAATTTATTGCCTTTTAAATTGTGGTATGTGTTTGTTTTATAAGAGAAGTGTAGATAATGGTTATATAAGTTTTTCACTTATCATAGTAATGGATGTTCCATGTGCAGATGGTGTATCTTCGACGGAAACCATAGACCAAGGTTGTATTGAGACTTATTGAGAACTGGTTTTGAAAAAATAATAAACTTATTGGACTGACTGATTTTGTTTAAGGTTGTATATATTGTAAGTGATATGAACTGAAACACTTGGCACTAGTTAATGCTTCATCAGCATGTTTGTAGAAATATAAATTGATGTATTTACGTTATTTTAAGAATAGCAATTTTATAATCTGTAAAATAAGTTGGATTAATATACGTTTCCTGACATCTTGACTTTACTATTCAAGTCCTCCTTCAAAACACCGTAATCAACTGACTTATTGTTAATTACATTTTGGTTGTAAATAAAATAAATGATAAATAAAATGTTTGACAAGTAAAATGTTTGTGTTTGCCATTTCCCACATTGTTAAGCATTTCCTGTGTTGGGGAAGATTTTTTATCAGCAGCTTCAAGGAGAGAATGTCTTGGCATTGGTAAAGGGCTCTTGATCCAAGGAATTTAAGTTACACTTCTCTTGACTCGTTAGCATTTTTTTTTTATTATTATTATGCAGTACAGTCCCCGTGACTAAATACAATTAGCCCTATTACACAGACCCACCATAAACAACAGTAAACCCACCTCAGACAATAAACCTGCTACAAACAATAAACCCACCACAAATATTAAACCCACCTTAGACAATAAACCTACTATAAACAATAAACCCACCACAAATATTAAACCCACCTTAGACAATAAACCCCCCACAGATAAACCCACCACATACAATAAACCCACCGCTGTATAGTCCTTGTGGCTTAGCGCTTCTTTTTGATTATAATAATAATAATAATAAACCCACCATAAACAAACCCACAGACAAAAAATATTTCTTCGACTGAACAACCCCGACAGGTTTAGTGCACCCCTGATATAACCAATCAGTGGGTGCTTTGATTCCTGTCTCCTCAAGGAAGGTTCCTTGATGTTGGTGAGGGGCTCTTGATTTAGGGAATTGGATCTGTGCTCCAGTTCCCCAAATTAAGCCTGAATGCCTTCCACATCACCCCCCCAGGCGCTGTATAATCCTCCGGGTTTAGCGCTTCCCCCTTGATTATATATTTTTTTTCTTTTATTATCACACTGGCCGATTCCCACCAAGGCAGGGTGGCCCGAAAAAGAAAAACTTTCACCATCATTCACTCCATCACTGTCTTGCCAGAAGGGTGCTTTACACTAGTTTTTAAACTGCAACATTAACACCCCTCCTTCAGAGTGCAGGCACTGTACTTCCCACCTCCAGGACTCAAGTCCGGCCTGCCGGTTTCCCTGAATCCCTTCATAAATGTTACTTTGCTCACACTCCAACAGCACGTCAAGTATTAAAAACCATTTGTCTCCATTCACTCCTATCAAACACGCTCACGCATGCCTGCTGGAAGTCCAAGCCCCTCGCACACAAAACCTCCTTTACCCCCTCCCTCCAACCTTTCCTAGGCCGACCCCTACCCTGCCTTCCTTCCACTACAGACTGATACACTCTTGAAGTCATTCTGTTTTGCTCCATTCTCTCTACATGTCCGAACCACCTCAACAACCCTTCCTCAGCCCTCTGGACAACAGTTTTGGTAATCCCGCACCTCCTCCTAACTTCCAAACTACGAATTCTCTGCATTATATTCACACCACACATTGCCCTCAGACATGACATCTCCACTGCCTCCAGCCTTCTCCTCGCTGCAACATTCATCACCCACGCTTCACACCCATATAAGAGCGTTGGTAAAACTATACTCTCATACATTCCCCTCTGCCTCCAAGGACAAAGTTTTTTGTCTCCACAGACTCCTAAGTGCACCACTCACTCTTTTTCCCTCATCAATTCTATGATTCACCTCATCTTTCATAGACCCATCCGCTGACACGTCCACTCCCAAATACCTGAATACGTTCACCTCCTCCATACTCTCTCCCTCCAATCTGATATCCAATCTTTCATCACCTAATCTTTTTGTTATCCTCATAACCTTACTCTTTCCTGTATTCACCTTTAATTTTCTTCTTTTGCACACCCTACCAAATTCATCCACCAATCTCTGCAACTTCTCTTCAGAATCTCCCAAGAGCACAGTGTCATCAGCAAAGAGCAGCTGTGACAACTCCCACTTTGTGTGTGATTCTTTATCTTTTAACTCCACGCCTCTTGCCAAGACCCTCGCATTTACTTCTCTTACAACCCCATCTATAAATATATTAAACAACCACGGTGACATCACATATCCTTGTCTAAGGCCTACTTTTACTGGGAAAAAATTTCCCTCTTTCCTACATACTCTAACTTGAGCCTCACTATCCTCGTAAAAACTCTTCACTGCTTTCAGTAACCTACCTCCTACACCATACACTTGCAACATCTGCCACATTGCCCCCCTATCCACCCTGTCATACGCCTTTTCCAAATCCATAAATGCCACAAAGACCTCTTTAGCCTTATCTAAATACTGTTCACTTATATGTTTCACTGTAAACACCTGGTCCACACACCCCCTACCTTTCCTAAAGCCTCCTTGTTCATCTGCTATCCTATTCTCCGTCTTACTCTTAATTCTTTCAATTATAACTCTACCATACACTTTACCAGGTATACTCAACAGACTTATCCCCCTATAATTTTTGCACTCTCTTTTATCCCCTTTGCCTTTATACAAAGGAACTATGCATGCTCTCTGCCAATCCCTAGGTACCTTACCCTCTTCCATACGTTTATTAAATAATTGCACCAACCACTCCAAAACTATATCCCCACCTGCTTTTAACATTTCTATCTTTATCCCATCAATCCCGGCTGCCTTACCCCCTTTCATTTTACCTACTGCCTCACGAACTTCCCCCACACTCACAACTGGCTCTTCCTCACTCCTACAAGATGTTGTTCCTCCTTGCCCTATACACGAAATCACAGCTTCCCTATCTTCATCAACATTGATTATAATAATAATAATAATTTGATTCTTGTGAAGGGTTTTTGATCCAAAGAATTGGGGCTATTCTCATACTCCTCGGATCAAACCGGCTTATCTCCCAATGCCCAGGCACTGCTTAACCCCTCAGGGCTTAGTGCTTTCCCTTGGATATAGTAATATCTAGTATACTCCATTGTCTGGGAATCGAACCTTGCTATTTTGGTTGTAAACCAAGTACTCCAGCACTGAGCAGGTATAAAAGAATGAGTGGGAAGGAGAGGGATTTGGTGAGTGGGAACCCCTCAAGGAAGGTTCCTTGATGTTGGTGAGGGGCTGTTGATTTAGAGAATTGGATCTGTGCTCCAGTTCCCCAAATTAAGCCTGAATGCCTTCCACATCCCCCCCCCCCGGCGCTGTATAATTCTCCGGGTTTAGCTCTTCCCCCTTGATTATAATAATAATAATAATGGTGAGTGGGAAGAAGAGAAATAGAGTAATTGATATGGATATATTAAGGAATGGAGAGAGATAAAGAGAATGAAAATGCTGGCCCAGAGATGGTCCACAGCTGGCCCACAGATGGTCCACAGCTGGCCCACAGATGGTCCACAGCTGACCCACAGATGGTCCACAGCTGACCCACAGATGGCTGCAACTTCATCCTGTTCCCTACTTGTATGTCTCATAACAATAAAAATGCTTTCAAATGAGCTGATGTAGGTAACAGCTCTTAGCTTGCCAATAAAGCTAGGGATCCTTAACCTTGTCAACCCTGTGTAAAAAAAAGAGAGAGAGAGAGAGGAAGGAGAGGGATAGACATGATTGGAAGACAGTTGGCCTCGCATGGAGGTGTGCTCTAGCCTTGAAGCACGGGTATAACCGTGACCAGTAGTCCATGGATATGGTGTTATATTGTGTGGTTGTCTGTTGCATTATGTCTGTGTTTAACTGTATGTTTGTCTGTGTTAGACTGTGTGTGTGTGTGTGTATTCACCTATATGTGGTTGCGGGGCTCGAGTCACAGCCCCTGGTTCTGCCTCTTGCTGTGTATGGATCCTGCCTCCGCTACTTCGCACTTTAGTTCATTCCACTTCTTGACCATTCTAAGGCTGAAGAAATACTTCCTAACATCCCTATGACTCCTGTGATTTTCAACTTCCACGTGCCGAACATTTTTTGTCTATTCATCCTGTCGATTCCTCTCCGTGTTGTACGTTATCATATCCCATCTTGTCATGTCCTCCAGTTTCATATAATAATAATAATTTATTTTTACAAGTACATGATACAACTTAGACCATAACTGACATCAGTTATAATCTGGTTATGCAGAGAATTTTAGGCAACTTAAGTAAATTTTGTCCTCCAGGATGCGACCCAGGTACCTACTTACTGCTAGATGGATATAGACAGCAGGTGTCTTAAGAAAACACACCCTAACGTTTCCACTCGTCCCGGGGATCGAACCACGGACTTCAGTTTGTGAGTTGAGTGTGCTACCAACCGAGCTACGGGACAGCTAAACACATCGCTGTGGACAGGATTCGAACCTGTGCGGGCATAGCCCAATGGATTTCGAGTCCATCTCCTTAACCACTCGGACACCACAGCTGACTTACTTCAGTTTCTCTTAGAATATACACCTGAGCTCCGGGTCTCGTCTCGCTGTAAACCTCTTCACTTTCTCCAATTTCTCGATGTGTTTGACCAGGTGTGGGTTCTGTTCTGATGCTGCGTACTCCAGTATGGGCCTGACGTATATGGTGCCCAGGTTCGATTCCCGGCAGGTGGAAACATTTCGACGTGTTTCCTTACACCTGTTGTCCTGTTCACCTAGCAGCAAATATGTACTTGAGTGTTAGTCGACTGGTGTGGGTGGCATCCCGGGGGACAAGATTAAGAACCACACTGGAAATAAGTTAGACAGTCGTCGATAACGCACTGACTTTTTTGGGTTATCCTGGGTGACTAACCCTCCGAGGTTAAAAATCCGAAGAAAATCTTATCTTATCTTCTCTCATAGTCGTGAATGACTCCTTACTTAGATGTCGAAAACCTATTCCTAGCCTTGCCAAGCCCGCATTTGCTCCAGTAGTTATTTGGTTGATGTGCGTCTCGGGGGAGGTGCCCGTACTCCGTCTAAGGTCTTCTTTGTCTTTCCCTAAGCTTCATAACTTTGCACTTGCTGTGTGTGTTGCCCTGTGTATTCGTGAGTGTTAGTACTTATTAGTCACACCGGTGACACTTCTTCACCGCTCTTTCACTGAAGAAATAATCCCAGGCTTGTCTTGTGCTTGCTTGGTCAACCAGGCTATTGCTACTGGCGGCCCGCTGGTCCACATAACCATCAGTCCTTCTTAATCCAACACCTGGTGGAGCAACTTGTCCAGTTTCCTCTGGAAGACTTCTACGTATGATAATCTACGTATGATAA